TCTGATACTTGCTTTCATGCAATATAAATTAAAAAATATAAACGTACAAATTCATCTAACAAGCTATATTAACAAATACTTTATTAAAATAGAGCGGCAACCTTGTGTATCGAATACATTACAAGTTAATTAAGGCGTTAAGTGCATTGCCCGCATTGTCGACTGAGGTAGGGAAATGACAACACTCCATTACCGAGGGAATGCCTCTACACATTACCTCGCCTCACGCACAATCGGGGCGTTAACAACACATCGATCATGTTCAAATAACTATGTCAATTAAACCTTTTGAATTATGACATATCAAAGTCGAAATCAAAACGAATTAACAAACTTTGTAACGAAACTGTATTTTTTTAACAGTGTAAAAGCGTACCATCGTCATTGCAAAGAAATATTACAAACAAAAAAATATTTCGATAGCTTAGATGTAGATAGATTATAAACTTTAAGCAGTCTAAAAGTTAATAATCTCTTGCAGGCAATATAAAAATCAATAAGTTAATACTCGTTCTATCTTCCAAGGGCCACCCTCCGTACTCAAGTCTCTTGAGAGAGCTGAGAGAAATCAGGTCGAGTATCATAACGTAGTCAATGACCCGTCTACACCTGTCTGTACTTGGAAACTATAATATTACTAGACTAGTAACTCAATCACGAAGACTCACGATAATATACCAAAGAGGATAAAGAAAAAAAATTAACAACAAACTTCAACACCAAAACAAATATCATGAACTTACAGAAGAGATATGCTAATCTATGATTCAATATCTTTAAACATGCTCTTGGACCCACATAACATAAAATAGTTATGGATAACCACTATGTAGTTACGTAAATAAAAATATAAGCACACAGTTATATGCTCGACATATTCTCTCTAATAAGCCTCCCACATTTTCAATCAATAGACAATAACCGTGCATATCAAAACCACCACACGGAACCTTGGAACTTGTTTTAAAGCCATGACATTTTAATATAAGCTTATTTATGAACCGTTAGCAACAATTGTCGAACATCAAAATCAGATCATGTCACCTGTCAAAACAATGGATCAAGAAAATCTGAGGCGCACGGGCGTCGCGCACGAGTGGGCAACCGTACCAACTTACCGTGGGCTTCTACTGACAAAATATTCATAGAATATATTACTTATTTATAGACCATAGTTTCAGCATTAACACCTCGGGTTTATAGGATTTGTTACGATTATTGTATTCTAAGACGATCAGTCAAAACTCTACCTTTGCTTCCTAACGGTAACCCAGGCGTTCCCTATGACAGTATTGTCGTCTCAATCAAAAAACTTCCGTTAATGATATCCTATATCGGATATTCATTTTTACATATCGCTTTTATTCACAAAGATCATAAAAATTTAGTACAAGTTTAAAAACAAAAGGATACACTCGATCTGGTGCATTATGTGTGCCAATCGCTTACAATTCAACATGTACTCATTCTAATTTTATGTTTTAGTTTCGCTTTTCGCAGCGCGCATACAAATTGACCAATCACTTCGCTTTTATACAGTACGCAAGAAAATACATTTTAAATTAACCTCGATTTATTCGACATTTAGTTTGTGATCAAAAAAATCTTTACCTCACTGTGGTTACAACTTACACCTTTTTAATTTCACGATTGATTAATCCAACATTTTTAAAATTAACCTACACCTAAGGATGCTGAAAAAACAAAAGAATATGACACTGAACTGACGTAGCCTAAATACAAACTAGAAGTGCCAATCCATGCAGCTCTAAAGGTCAGTCGTGTTAACCACGGGCTTACACTTCGGGGTATCAATGTATCATACGAGTGGAGGGCGTGAACATACACCCACTTGTCAATGCTTTCATACATGCTGTACTGCAGCAGGTTATCATAGTAGACCATAACTCTAACCACAATCACGTCTTGTCTATCTTTAAGTATCGTCTATCGTTCAATCCCAAAAATGTGTTAAAAAACCATAAAGTATTGATATACTTTATGGTATTATATATTGATATAATATAACCAGCACTTTTTCACTATTTTGTAATTATTTTATTCATGTTGTGAACACTTTGGTTTAAAAGATGGTCTTATTAATTCATTATTCTTATTTGTAATTATGTATTAGTTTTAAGCTGTTTGTGAACCTAATAAAATAAATAAATAATTTACGTATACAAAATTAAACTTTTAAAAGCTGAATGAAACAAAATTAATTACAAGTGAATGGAATAATCGTTAACTGCATCTCAAATATTTAATCCTTTAACAAATTTACCTCAAATCTTATCACGTAAATTCCGAGGAAAGCCGAACATTTTATTTCGATCTTGCACAACCGAATCCGTGCAAGAATGCAAGGAATATCTCTTTTGATAGTGAGCCAGATTTTATAGAAACAAGGTAAAAACATATCAAGTGACCCGCACTGAAAGTAAACGAGATTTACTAGAAAGCGATTTTATAAAACGGTAACATGAAAATTATTTTTAGTCATAAACATGAAACCAAAAGACGAAAGCGAAGACCATTCAATGTAAAGAAGAAACGAGTATTTTTTAAAGTCCTAAATTTGACAAGACCTGACTTTAAGTCAAAACTAAGTAAGTTATAAAACACAGGTGCAACTATTTCAAAATTCAGGAAAAAAAATCCTAATCAAATAACAGTAAAACTTAAAACAGCATAAAAGGCTACACAAACTTCTAACATATAGACTACAGACAAAAATTCACTTTTCGAGAAAAAAGTATCCATAATAAGACTATGCAAATCGACAACAATAAAGCATAGATTTTTATTGAATAGATTAAAATTAACCTTGTCTATCGATGATCTAGAGAACAGCGCCAGCTTTCGCCGTTCAGAATTAACATTGGTATTGTAACACTCCAACTTTATTGAGGCTCGGCTCAATCAACGATCTACAAACGCATGAAGTGTTACCAGGTGGGCTCAATAACGCGTGTCACCCATCCACCCATGCGTCCCTTTACGACCTCTAATAATAGTTATGTGCGATTTATATAAAACTAGCTGTTACTCGCGACTTCGTCCATGCAATATTAAAAAAACTAGCCTATAATATGCACGTCTCTGTCAGCTAACCTACAGTGAAACTTCAGTTAGAATCGGCCCAGCCGTTTCGGACATTACTAGGATCAAACCCGGCTTTCAGACAGACAGACAGACAAAAAAAATTAAATGCGATTTTCGTTATCAGCAAAGCAAATACATCATCTTCCTGAAATCTGGGGTTTTTCTTTTGATATTACAGACACTCCAATTTTATTACATGTATAGATAGATATAAATATAGATTTCGAATAGCCATAAAGTTTGGATAGCACTGTATGAACCGTGTCCATAAACCGTATACAACCTTGACAATGAAATCGTCATTCGCAACTTATGACGCGCTAGCAACGGGGCGCATTCGAAAGTTACAGTTATTATACAAAATGCATAATTTCATATGTAAATTTGAATTTATACTTCATCCATAACATCAAAAGATGTAAAACTGTATGTATTCAAAGCTAGTTAAAATTATATCATCAAAACAAAATTATGATAAGATTAAACAAAGAGTAAACGAAATATTTACATGTTGCAACTACTTTATATACCAACCATCCAATAAAAACACCTCACTTCATTTCAAGACAGATTAAAAAAATAAAAAAAGTCTCAACTCTAAAAAACCGGGTCAATGTTAAGTGAATTGTATTGAAATTATCACGAATTAATTACATCAAGTAATTATCTTAATAAATACATTAACTAGACTAGTTAATCTTATTTTGTTTGTAAATTAAAAATATTATGATTACAAAAAATCCACAGGTATAGAGATATTTGACTCCGACAATTGGAAAAAATGTTACCAACTGTTGTTTTCAGAATTCGTTTCTGTTTTGTAAACGCCGATGTACGAAAGCAATTGTTTTTGCCAAACATTTTTTCTGTTAAAAATGTTAATTTTGTAATTTTCATTACTTCGGAAAGTGATAAAATTGGAGGAATTAAGAACAAGTAATTTAAAAAAACCGGTTAGACTACTTACAGATCAATGAACCCGAATTTTGGTTTCTTTTTCCAAAAAAGACTTTCTACTCATTTCTTCTTTTTTAAAATGCCATATATAAAAGAAAAAAATCATTTAAAATTCTTATGAGGTCTCTAGAAACAATATCTAAATTATCAAGTTAGCAACTTAGATAGAAACAGTTATTAACAGTCCAACTGTATGTGTCTGTGTGTATTGTATGAAATCTATCTATACGTATAATAAAATTGGAGTGTCTGTTTATAACATCAAAAAAAATCCAGATTTCGGGAAGATAATGTACTCGCGTTGCTGATAACGAAAATCACATTTAAAAAAAAATTGTCTGTCTGTCTGTCCGCAAGCCTCGTTTGTTCCGGGTAATCTTCGAAACAACTGAGCTGATTTCGACTGGACCTTCACTGAAGGATAGCTGGCATTTTATAGGCTACTTTTTTATCTTAATATTACGTGGACGAAGTCGCGGGCAACAGCTAGTTTTAACGTCACATTATATTTATAACACACTAGACTTTGCTCGCGATTTGTCCGCGTGGAAATAAAAATTATAATAATATAGCTTGTTACTCAGTGATAACGTAGCTATTTATTGGTGAAAGAATTTTTGAAATCGACCCAGTAATTTTTGTGTTATTACAATACATATAAAAATACAAATCTTTCCTCTTTGTAATATAAGTATAGAACGTAACAAAGAAGCGATATTTCATACTTTTTGTTTTATACCACTTTTTATGATATAACGTGACTTAATAAATGTTGCAACCGATAACACGAATACAAAAAGTGAACACATATTTCTTTGACTTTTCAATTTAATGCCAAAAAGTTTCCATTTCTGCGGATTCAGATGGCCGCTTGCTCGTTTGCCACCTTTCATTACATTAAAAAATTATAATCATAATTGAATTAAAAATATACTTACCACATTGATCTTCCCGAGGATATGCGTTATCTGGTCCTTACTGCACATCTTGATTTTCGTATATTTCGTTCTCGCAAATGTCACATTTTATCATATGTCATCATCACTTTTAAATTCAACACAATACTACAAAAACATCGCTATTTTCACTTGAAGTTCTACTATTCAACTAATTGATAAAATTAAAAAAAAAAGCTAGGAAAATATTCTAACATTAATGTACATAATAGAGCGTCGGTGGCTCAGTGGTTTGAACACTTAACTTGTAATCTACAGGTCTTGGGTTCGAATCCCGCCATGTACCAATGTGATTTTAGATTTTTCGAATTTTTATATGTACATAATTTACTCGACGTTCTTACGGTGAAGGAAAACATCGTGATGCCTGCACATATCGGCGAAGAAATTCAAAGATATGTGTGAAGTCAACCAACCCGCACTTGGCCAGCGTAGTTGACTATGGCTTAGTCACCCCGTATTAGGGTAGGCTCCGAGCCCCTCGGTGGGGACGTATAAAGTGCTGGTGATGAATGTACATAATTTCATTACACAGTATAATATATGTCATAAAACTACGCTGAATAATTTCAAACTGGCAATCAACATCTTAACTCATTTAAATCAATACAATTTCACATTTCTGTCGACAGAGAAGAGAAAGGTAAACATGGATGTTTAACAATCATTAGTATGAGATAATGTTATCTAAAATGATCGCAACTTTCCATAAAAACATCTGACTATTAGCAAACGAAACGTTTTGTGATAGAAAACGGTTACAGTGACCTTTTACTAATCGCTTACAAGACACTCTCTTGAAAACAAAAAATAAACAAAAAAAATTATCTCATTTCGAAAGATCACGACAATGTCATTTGGGTCATGACGTTATTCTAATAAGGACATATAAATATTATTACATACTTATAATTCTCTATTGAAAATAAATAAAATTGGTCTATTTGAAAAAACACAAATTATACGTGATATTTTCACAATCTAATCACATTTTCACAACTATAACACAAATGCCCTTTGACCTTGAGACCAAAAATCTTCATAAAATTTTTCCATTTCATTTTATCGTTCACTATCCACATATCCTGCAGAGAATGTATCTCAACATGTTTCAATACAAGATCGACAATATAAACCCAATCAACACTAATGACGTAAAACAAATTGGGCCGCAAAAGAAAGCGCACGTTACGAATACGAGCAATGAATATAGATAGGTATCAAATAATTGAACCGTTCAATTACAAACGATCATTAGACTTACGAAATCCTTGCGGAATGCACGCGTCATACTTCACAATACAAATCATTCACAAATCGAATCAGAGCTTTAATTACATTACATACATTTAATTATATTAGATACGCGATATCATTTGATACATTAATAACTGGATTATTCCCAACCGTCACCCCACTCTATCACAACGTGAGAATAAAAAGTTTCATCTGTCCCACCTTTTAATCCCACTATCACCAAAAAGGCGACAGATGGAACCATTATGAAATAAAATAAGTTCCAACCGATCCTCATCGCAAAAGATAGGATGGATAGAACTCTTTATTCTCATCTGTTCCCACGTGGGGACAGAGCGGTGTGACGGTTAGGAATAATCCATAACTTTTTATTCTATGAGATTGTTGCTACATAGAAAGATAAACTTTTTCGAACAGTTAAGTGAAATCGAAATTTAATATAAGTTCTGTTTTAAAACTTTGCATAATTGTTAGAGAGTGTAGGGACTTATGTTTCACTTTGATGAATATTAATGAAAGGTTATGACCGGGTCAGTTGAAAAGATAACAAAACATTTGCTGTCCTTCTCTCTTTTCTTCAAAAAGACTGAGATAAAAAAAAATGTTTTACACGCTTCGACAATGTTGACGGTTGTAAAAATTCGAACAGAATGTTTTTAAACTTTTTTTATAAAAACTTTTAGAATACTGGCACATATCACAAGGTACAAAAAAATTATTACTATAACACTAATAATTTGAAAAGTTCCAAACTAGGTCGAACTAAGTTATAAAGTCAAGGTCAATTTTGACAAAGAGGTTCTCAATCCATCGCAGAATGCTTTTCAATTATAAATATAACGATATTAAGGCAATCAAGATCCTATTCATATAAAAAAATCCGAAGCTAAATACTAAAAGAATTTTGTACGATAATTCGATCTCACGGTCAACAAAGAATCTATTGTAGATCGCAATTTCAATAGTAAAATGAACTCAAGTGTAATCAATAGCCATTTTATACCAAACATAACAATATGAATATTATGACAAAGTAAATAAAATACTTTGCAATAAACTTTGATATTAAAAATATTAAACAAGTAAGCTAAAAAGCATTAATTTTCGACAATCTTTGGATGAATAAATTATTATAAATTAAAAAAAATAATAAAACAATATTCTTCAACTAGCTTTCGCCTGTGACTCCCTACGCGTGGAATTAAAAAAAAAAGTGAGTAACCTATGTGTTCTTCCAGACGCTATATCTATACTAAATTTCATCGAAATCCGTTCAACCGTTTAGGCTACAAACTCTAACATACATCCATCCATCCATTTAAGCTTTCGCATTTATAACATTAGTAAGAAGTAAGATATAATTTACTTTACCAATATAATTGAATTGCAATAAAAATATCTAAAAGACAAATATTATGGCAGTTCACTTCAAAACCTTGGCCTCTAGCAATTAAAATCATAGACATCCGGACACAAAACAATATTATAAATTACAATAAACATCTTAGATAAAACAATAATAATAAAAAAATATTATGGAACTTCTATGGTTATATGTGGTCTATAGTGGCAACAGCAACATTATCATCAGTGTATTTTTTAGTTGTCATTGTTACTGTCAAGCCAGTACTATCCAAGCCACTGGCGGTAGTTGACGTTATCTACGTAAGTACAGTTCACAACAAAACATCTTATGCTCACATCCTGTTACAGCATACTGTACATAACATTTGTACACGTTACGTACGCACTTGTCTACAATTTGATTGATCTTATAACCATCATTATGTAACATAATGAATTACTAAGCATTCCGATAAGAGATTAAAATGACACATCAAAAATAGATCTACTCGGCAATTTCTTTCTAAATATTAATAACTCTACATAACAATAAAGATTGTCCATATCAAAATTATGCAACACAAAAACTTTGTCAGAAAATAGAAATTATTAAAAGAATAAATTGCAAATTACTTTTTCACACCTTAGAATATACTCACACCTTTGACTAATATATCGCACAACTATCTAGTCTCTTTTTAGTGCAACTAAACAGTTGAATTTGCTGCGAAACAATCGACAATCGCACAAAAGTTGTGCCATAGTAAACTATGAAAAATTTATGTCAAAGATGTGCGCCCGCTCTAAATCTTCATCTCTCTGATAACTTTAAAGCCCGCTATACATGTTCAGTGCGTGTCAAAATATCAACAGTACTGGGCGTCTATAGAGAACTTAATTACACAGGCTTTTTAATTGATAGACAATAAAGTAAATATAAAACTACTACTGTATTATAGGAAATTTCCGAAAGATTTTAATTTCATAGATTTTTCGGCAATGTACAAACAGACGTGCTTTCACTTAATGGAACTATTAATCATACCGCGGCGTTGCTTCCTATCAGTTTCACTTTCTTACATAATTTTTTTCATCCAGTGATCGTTTTTTTGTTATTGATTGGCTCCCACCGACAGGTTCTTGACCTCGATGATTCAGCACAAATGGTTTTTATCACAAACAACAAAGGTGTATTTGCTAACCGTTTATTTATAAAAATTAGAACACCTAGATTAATATTTAAAGTTAACCATGATTGAAAACCACAGATTTCTAATTCCTTAATTATCTAAACACTAGCTGTTCCCGTGCGGCTTCATCCACATGAAGTTATAATAACTTTATTTAATTTTTTACGCTTGTCGAACTTAAATGTCAAAATTCAAATGCATAAATGACAAACTTGCTTCCTCAATATTGGCTGCTTGTAATTTAGAGTCCCTTTCCCACATTAAGGTTTTTTCTAATTTATTTACCCCCTAATTTTAATAGTGTGAAAATGTATAGCCTAAAGCATGTAGTAAGTGTAGGACTTTTTATTGCAGAATGAATTATACAAAAATATGCCGTTATTGCTGACAATTTACGTCACAAAGTAGTGTGTGTTGACGCTTTATAGGGGTAAAATTTCATTTTGCAACTGGGAAATAAGATTTTTATATAAAAAGACATGACTTTTTGTAAAGAATAACACAGGCTGGAATGATGAAATGACAAAAACATTTTACACACATCCTAAATTCAACAGTAACCTAGTATGAAAACAAAACAATAACCTTCCCTTATTTAATTAATTTACTAACATGAATAAGTTAGTACTAATTATATAAGCTACGTTAACAATTCCGAACTCGTTCTATACAGACGTATAAACAAATCTCGTTTAGAGCCGGCCGCGAGCTCTAGGGTCCGCTTTCACTGCGCCCAGACGTGTAATTAAAGCCATTGTTATGACCACCATAGAGCGAAAACGTTTCTAGTTAAATTTTCATTCATCATTTTAAATAACGAAAGTAATTTATGATGTAATTCACATCTTTATTCTAAAAATTCATGTTTTTTTCAAAGATATAAATTTCAAACTATTTTTAATCATACTGGATGTTTGTCAGAGTTTGTAACCTAAATCGCTGAATGAATTTCGATTAAATTTGGTATAGACGTAGAGGATAGTCTGAATGAAAACATAGGCTACTCAATTTTTTGTTTTTTCAGACGGACGGAGTCACGGGCGAAAGCTAGTGTTAACTAATATTTTTTTACAAACATTCCAACTAAACTCTAGACTTGTGTGGCGATAGTCGAAAAGCAAAACTCTAACCCAGGACCGCGCAATCGGATATATTCTTTTCCTAACCTTTTCCTAACAGGAGAAAAACCTAGTAAATAATAATTAAAAAAAAACAGGTTTTAAAAGTGTATGTACTTTACATCGACCAATATCAAACAACAAGAAACATTAAGTTCAGTTATATTCTTAAAACCACTATTGAATTATCATTTAACGATATTGTAATTTCTATTAGAATTGAGTCAAAATTTGCACGAACATTGTGAAAACCGCGAACCGAGTTAGCCGATTTAGGCATTACAAAACGATTTCGACATGTGTACGCAAATTTGCTGCATTTCGTTGCAACAGTTATACTTGATCAATTCCTACGCGATCGTTTCTACAATAACGTAACAACAAATGGAATTTACAACCGTCATTGTAATATTTTTATTAACAGATCCTTATAGCAACATGATACTGAATAAATCTTACTTCTAACTAATATTATAAATGCGAAAGTTTAGATGGATGGATGGATGGATGTTTGTTAGCGTTTGTAGCCTAAACGGCTAAACGGATCTCCATGAAATTTGGCACAGGTTTAGAGCATAGTCTGGAAGAACACATAGGCCACTTTTTATCCCGGGAATAGTTACGGTTCCCGTAGGATTCATTAATTTAGTTTTTTAATGGCACTCGATCATTCTGCAACGGTTCAACATATCTTATTGAAATTTGGCACAGATATAAAACAAAGTCTGGAGTACACATGAGATAAGCTTCATCCCAGAGAAATGTCCGGTTCCCGAGGGATACGTAGCTTTTTATAATTTATATACTTCATATATTTTCTAATATCACGCGGACGAAGTCGCGGGCAACAGCTCGTAGCAATATAAATTATAGCACTATTCCGTAGTCTCCATACTTCAACATGTCATAAGATAATTCCAAAAATAAACTTTTTTACGAAATTTTATACGAAAAGAATTACAAGTTCCTCAAGTTCTCATAAGCGATATCACCCATTTCAACGTAAGGTTTTAAGTTCTAAGTCCAGATAGCAAGTGTTGCCAGTAATTTGTACAAGAGTAACGAATCGTATTCCGATAGCGCAACATTGCGTTTAGGCTCAGGGTTGCCAGTTACTACTCCACTGCAGACCGAATTGATTTTTGCTATAAAATTTACGACAGATCTTACGACAGAAATAGAGATTAACTGATACTGCACTGAGCGAGCGCTAAGGAAGACCCTAAATGTAGATTTCGTATGTGGAATAAATTTTGTTTATTATGTATATCTATCTTTATTAGATCACTGCAGATATTTCGCTATCCAATACATTTATTTAGCTTTTTTATTACATACAAAAGTGCTAAACAATATAATATAGGTTATAATATATAATTTTACGGTTTAATAATAATAATTTCGCTATTGCAAGAGCACTCCATTTTTGTCGTCCTGTAAAAATAAAAGTCTCCTCCAAATACAATACCATTATTTAACATTTCGGTATTTATTTGTGTACTTAAAACATACACATTCCTACAATTCGTCAAGTTTTAACCCATCTGCATTAGTTCATCTAAATAATCAGAGGTAATCTAAACAACAACTAAATAAAATTATAATTCGAACTGCAGCCTGTAAATGGCAAGAATATTTACCACTGGTGTTAAGTATCAAATTGTGTAAATTAACATCTTAAAACATTAGAACAACGACTTTTAACATTAAATTCCCACGGAATTTACTAATGAATCACAAACGTAGACAAACAAAAAAAATATAATACCTATGTACTTAAAAGATAATCACTATAAACTGGTCTTATATGAAGTACATAGCTTACTAAGCTATAAGCTTTAAATCGGCTTAGCAAACGATAATCCAGCTTCAAGTAAGTCTAACTTAAAACGTAAGGATCTATAGACGCTAACAAAGGACACATCTACCTTCACATTGATGGTTAACATTTATGTCGCTGGCAAATAGTAAATGCCGTCCGATTGTAATTTACCTAGGATAATTGAAAAAAAATAACACCGTACTCGTATTTCAATTTCAACAGGATCTAGTGCTAAGTTTCCTTGTGAATAAAAATTAATTGTAATAATGAAAATAATGTTATTTTTTTGCGTATTTATAACGAAAGTATTCTAGTAACGTAGAAAGGTTGACCAAAAAACACGGAGATAAAACTTGATTGATTACTGCGTCATATTGAATTTTTATCATATCAAGGAAGACAATATCTCTGATAGGAATATTCCTAATATTAATATTTTCTAATTCAAAAAAAAATCAAGGAAAAAGACCATATTTACCTATTATTAAATCCAAAATATAAATAAAAATAATATATCCTATATTGCAATCTACCTAGAATAAAAGAATAAATTTAATTCGATTTAATTTAAAAAAATACATTAAAAAAAGTAAAAAACTATCGTATCTACCGTCAAACTTACACATAAAAACTTCATCAATATTCCAAAAAAAATTCAAATAATCACATTAAAACCTCAAGAAAAAATATCGATATATCCACAGAAAAAAACACTGTCAACATAGACACTGCGGAAGAAAGTTTTTTTAAAACGCGCGCGGTACAGCCAAGAGCCGGCGTTGGACTGGCGCGAGGCGAGACTGTGCAGTTTCAATATCCGAACATATCGACCCGTCTCGTCGCATTTACTAAATAGTACTATGCATTTGTGCAGTACTAAAGGCATTTACTTAGGGACCAATTAACTCTGTTTTTAAAAAACTATCGTCGCTATATTACGACAGGATTGATGTGGGCTTTTCAGTGATAGATTTTCAAATAACTTTCATAATAAAATATGACAAAACGGAGATTAAAGACAACATAGAATACAATTATGTTTGAACTGATATTATAAAAAGGAAAGATTTGTATTTTTGTATGTTTAGATTTTCGAAATAACTCAAAAACTTCTGGACCGATTTCAAATATTCTTGCACCATTAAAAAGCTATGTTATCACTGAGTAACATACTCGTAGAATATTTTATTTAACGGAGCGAAGTCGCGAGCATCAGTTTCTTTATTATAAATCTGTAAAACTTCAGTAAAAGAACTTCAACGAAATCTTAATCTAAACAAACTTAACCTAAAATAGTAGGTCAAAGTATCTAAAACGGAAGAAACGTCACGGTATGCCGGAGAAAATTATAGAAAACAAGCTCCATCACTTACCGTTCACGGAATCGAACCTCGTCTATTATAGCGGACGCTACTCGCATGCAAAACGGACGGTTATCGCCCACCTGGAACAAAAAACGATCGGGGTCAAAACACGGACAGACAAAATACAATCACACACACGTCTTTTGTTTACAAAACAATTGAAAACTTTAAAAACACATGTAGTATCATAAAAAAAAACATTTGTGCAAATTCAACCTTACTAATTATCGTTATTTTAATGGATTAGGAACACTGAAAGATGTATATATGTAAATATTTTAGTCTTGTAATTCTCTTCTAACAGTCTTAAAATATAATTAGTAAAAAATCGTTAATATTCTCTTTCTACTAACACAGCAATAATATAGACCAAAACACTATGAATTAAAAAAAAAAATCTACATTAAAACACCACTACTATATAAATATACTAATATTTTAAAATGGAAAGATTTATATTTTTGTATGTACTAAAATAACTAGAAAACTGCTAGGCCGATTTCAAAATTTCTTTCACTGTTAAAAAGCTACGTTATCAGTGAATAACTTAAGCTACATTTTTTAATCACGCAAGCGAAGTTACGAGCAACACCTAGTATAATACTATGTAAATTACACTCAGACGCTGCACTCGTAGTACATACGTTTCAGGCACTGAATTGAACAAGCCATCCCCTCGACTTGATTTATCAAAGGGCGTTGTACAAAGCTTAATGACGTGCGTACGTATGTTTATACTTTGAAAAAAGTTTTCAGCCTTTATTTTATACCTGGATTAAATTCTATATCAAGCTTAATTATACATCTTTTGTTATATGACGTTTAATATAGCAGAAACTTATAAGTATTCATTAAAAAAAATAATATATGTAGAAAAATGTGTCGTAAAACCTAAATAAACTTCAAGAGAGCTAAGCATATTATAAAAGCAAAATTAAATATAAAAAGAAATGTTATCAAAAACGGTCAGGAAGATAAATTCACATCTCTGGAGAAAGGACAAGTCTGAGATTCTTTTTAAAAATACTCAGAAAATCTCATCGAATTCTTCGCATAGATATAATCCTATAGTAAGTAAAGACCCATCTTTTAAATTAAGAATGGATCATAAAACCTCAAGTCTAATATCGTGTGCTATACGTAAAATTTTTAATCAGTATGTATGTTTCAGTGCTGTTAGTGATGACACGGCTGTGATTGCTGTCGAGGCGTGAGAACAGCTATCTTATCTTGATTGAAAGGCTGCCGTCTTCCGCGCGTTGTGTACGTAATAATGCCACACGTCAAAAGTGAACGTTATATCTCAATTATGGGACCTTTGTCTTATTTTTCTCTTTTTGATCAGCGACCACCTAACATCATAGTCACGAAAGCTAATCGAATGACCGCACCATGATTTTCCTGAGTATAATGATAAAATTTGGGGAACTGCAGTTTCTTCACCCAATCATACTAAGCATACTTCATACTAATATTATAAATGCGAAAGTTTAGATGGCCAAATGGTTGTGTGTTGTTGTTGTAACCCAAACGACTGAACGGACTTCGTTGAAATTTTGTATAAATGCGGAGGATAGTCTGGAAGAACACATAGGATTTAGTTTCTTTTAATTCCACACTGACTGAGTTACGAGCGAAAGTTAGTAGTTAATAATCACCAAGGGATGATTCAAACACATTCTGCACTAACAATTTCAATACGTTAAAAATGAAAATACACCAAATTTATTGTACGTTACAGTGATCACAATTAGCTTTTACATACATCCTCATTAGTCTGAGACATCATTTACATTAAAAAAAAAACTCCATCGTGCCCTAATCCGTGCACTGCCGCGTCGTTTGCATACTCTGCATGTCATTTCAGAGTTGGAAGTAAAACGGAACGACACAATGTGGAAATATTTAGATTAAAATCAGGAAGTTCTCAAGACACGTATGTTTTTGATCCTACTTTCTCGGCTACCTTGAGCGCAGGAGTCGCTGGTTATCAATTTTATTCATCACAAAATGACGGAGAGAGTAGAACCTTTTACTTTTCTGCCACTTTATTCGCGAAATTCCATATATCCGTTACGCAAATATTTTGTTAAGCAGTATTAGTTAAGCCCTCATCAATACTGTCCTTATTCTGCGTAGGTTCAACACAACAGATTTCCCTGCTTAAAACTTACAGTCGTCATTTTATTATGATTCATTTCATTCGTTGTGATTCAGTCAAAGATTATATTAAATAATCTAAATGTAATTGGATTTACAATTAAAATCGGCGCATATTTAATAGGCTTCTGTTACCAGACAGTACTCTAAATGGAAATGTCAAAAAGACTTTGTACTAAACATTGTTAATGCAATTACATTTATTACATTAGAAGTCTTAATTACTTTAGAAATACAAAGGTTAGGCACAGCCCTAGGTGTAGAGAGTTCGCCGCCCCTGATTGATTTGTCTGACAACTGGGGCGGAGCAGCGCTCTATACAGGTAGATATTACAAATGTGTGGTACAATTCATTCAATCATAGCGAATTAATTAAATCTATAAAACTATGTATGCTGATGAACGTCACAGCGATAAAATGGTCAAAAGATTGATTGGATTTATTGCTTAAGTAAGCACCTATTGCTTTGAAATCTAGCATCACTATAGGTCTACAATAGTTTTCTCTTACAGATTTTAAATCTAAGATTGTGATAGTGTTTTATTATTTCTGTTCTTGCAACTCTTATCACTTAGGCTGTTGTAAATATGCCAACACCTTATACTTAAGATTGAGTTTCTTAGAAGTAAATTGTTAGTGAGATTCATTTTCTTTCATATTAATATCTAGACCTACATGATCTAGATTTCTGTATTTATTCGAAAATGTACTGAGATTTTCTTCACGAGTATTTCAATGATAATCATAACAATTATTTTTAGGCTCAACTTCTATTCAGTCCTCGATAAATTTATTTTAAGACAATCTAAATTTACTTACAAATCATGTAATACAAGAAGTAATTAATTTTTCACTCAATACTTAAGTCTAACAAACACTTCGCTTAGTAACCATTGCTTACAATCTGCCATACATCGAAATTTCAATGAAATGTGGAATTTAAGAGTGGCGTGATCTTATTATTTAAGACGCTGTTAAATATTTAAGTTTCATTTTAATTTTTGGCCGTTAGTAAACAGTGTAATGTTTCAGTTTTAATTTCCTCACAAAACAACAGCAAGACACTGATGACGGATAGCTCTGACGTAAAGCAAACATAGAACAATAGATTTAAAATGGATTCGCAAACAATGCAACGAAAATATTTACATTTCCGACAACAAACATTGTAGGGAACGATTTGATAGACTATACGATGATTTCATTTTCCTTCGAAAACTATAACATCAAAAGGATTATTTGTAATTCAATTTAATCATATAATACCTATATTTGTTTTCCTCGTTCATATCTGTATACGAGTTTATTTAAAAGGAAAATCATACCGTTTATCGTTAATATCGTTTATCCAATACTAGCTTCCGCTCGCGACTCCGTCCTTGTTGTATTAATAAAAACAAAAGAAAGTAGCCTATGTGTTCTTCCACACTATCCTCTACATCTATGCCAAATTTCATCCAGAGTTGTTCAGCCTTTTAGGCTACAAACCTTAACAAACATCCAATCATCCAAACTTTCACATTTATAATATTAGTAAGAAGTAAGATTAACATTACCATCATTGTCCACTGTCATGACGTCAGTAAGTTTATTATTTCTTTTTACGCAGAGAATCAAAGCGATTCCAATACATAGTGTCAAGTTTGCAGACGTGAAATCTAGCTATTGGTACAAGCCAGTTAATGTCATGCAAGTTGTAACTACCACCAGTATGTAATACATGCAAGTGCAGCTACATGGCTATTACCTTTAGTTAGCAGTAACTACAGCAAAAACGGTGCAATATTTATTCAAAAGGAAACTGGGAACAATCAACAAACAGAGAATAGTTTTTGTTTACTTGCCCTTGCGAGGGTTCCATAAGAAGGGTCGTTGGAGATTGTAACGAGAAACGTCAATTCATGTTCATTTGAATCGTCTGTGATTTCAGTGTTGATAAGTCCATTATTATCTACAAAACATATACACCAGAGGGCTGAGAGCCTACCCTATGTTAGGGTGACTATGCCTTAGTCAACCACGCCGGCTCAGTTCGTACTGACTTTATATACCTTTGAATATCTTCGCCAAAATGTGCAAAGGGTACATGAAGAGATTCAAACCCAGGACCTGTGAATTACAAGTCAAATCTTTAAACCCTTAAGCAACGCACGCTTTACAATAAATGTTTTTCGTAAAATTCTCCATACGCAAGGAAATTCATACAGAAACAAGCACTATTGAATCTCACAACAACATTGCATAAATTTTTTCTTTGTTGGTAAAGTCGATCA